AGCGCTAACAATTGTCCGCACTTGGCGCAAAAAACCTAAATTAGGCTCTACCCCTAGGTCCAAAAACCGCACTCGTTTCAATTTGTATGATCGAATTATACTCCCTGCTTCGTCTCCTTTCGTTGTCTTTCACTCTGTCTATCAATTTCAATAATCAGCCCGCAGCTAGGGCCGGATTTAAAAGGGGTCCAACGGGTTATGGTCTTTGGTATCAAATTATGGAAGCAAAACGGCAGATTTCAAAAGTTTTTTTTTTTTTTCTTTTTTTTTTTTCTAAGTCTTTCTCGGGGTGACGAAACAGCTGATCATCGCTGGTCGGCAAAAGAATTTCGTTCAATTTTGAAAAAAGTGCAGGGCTTGAGGGGAAAGTGAGCGCGACTCGCGGAAAAATTACTTTCGATAAGCCGCAGAATACCCCGATAAAAATGTTACAACTTTATAAGCAAGTTAATGGTAGTACGATAGTAAGTTTCCCTCGTCCAGAAGCCGTGCATCGTATGGGTATCACCTAGCGAGCATTGCTCCATGTTTCCTCACAATGAGGCCATAAAACTGACGCCTCCGAGAGGTATTTGTGGCAATTCGTCGTCCAGCTGACAAAAGGGCGTAACTACACATTGAGATGAGCCCGGAAAAGCATTGAATTGTATGGACGACTGGGCTCATTGCAGGGTGTAGATACGCCTTTATGTCAGGAGGGCGACGAATTATTGCACAGCAGAATAATCAAATCCCCTTCCGCGTGCACCAATCTTTTTACACCGACATGATAAGGGGCTTTCATGAGTCTGAGCGGAGAAATTGAACCACTAGCGGATACAGCAAATTGGCAACATTGTCTTTCCTCCATTTAAGCCTATGGAAATGTATCGATTCTCGGAAGGACCAGGTGCTCCGACAATCGATTAATTAGCATATGTTTAAATGGAGGAAATTCGGTGTTGCCGAATTACTGGATTCGCCTGACTCTCCGGCCGTTCTCAGCCGTTCGCCATCACCGCTCTACACACGATCCTATGTTTATGCCCTGCTCTGCTGTCGTATCAAGAGGAACTGCGGTATGAACTTTGAAATGTTGCAAAAAATTGTTCAATAAAATATTTATTTTCGACGAAAGTTATGCAATTTATGCATATTATACCTCGACACTTTAAGATAGGTATACTCCAGATTAAATTGCTGATAAAATTCTCCCAAAAATGGAACGAAAAGTATTCATAAGTTTCCTACAAAAATACGTATCTTATCAGAGAAGATTTGGCAACGTCCAAAGGTTTATACGGCGTTTTTACTCGGCACGGAATTCTGCCTTTAAGTTCACAGTGCTTTTGCAGGAATTTTAGGTGGTTTTTATGACTGATACTATAGCTGAACGACACGGAGAATGTTGTGACGCGTTTCCTATTCCTGTACCGATTTAAACTTTCAGCTGTTTGAAACTATGGTCACTAAAAATATGATAAATATTTGGGATTTGCAGGCATTTAAGATTTATGAATAGGGTTGCCCGCGAATGTAATGTGAACCCGAGCCCCTGGGGCGGTCTTTCAGCTGAAAAAATGGGAGTCCAATGGGTCTCGGAAAATGTCCAAAATTGAAGGTACCAGAGATGAAATTTTGAGCTCACTCAATGTAAATTTCAAGGGACCTGTCGAAAATGACTAAAAAGAATTAATAAGAGAGGAAATGGGGTAATGGGTCCTTGCGACTGCGAGGCCCCCAAACTTGAATCAAACGCATAAAGTGTGCTCCGAGACGGATTAATAAATATTTATCCGGTCCCTCAAAAATTTAGGAGCCAGTTCAACCATGGTCACGGTGAGCATACAAGTATTCAGTGTCCATGAAGTTGGATCAAATCCACGCTAACTTTTTCAAAATCTATTTACTTATTTACTCTACTTTTTTTGAAGTAAGTAAATAGATAAATCAAAAATGAAATATATAAAATCGTAAATGTATGATTGTCCAAACTTTTTGTGTATAATTTTCAAAACTTTGACGAAAGTGGCATTATCATAAAATCGAGATTATATTAGGCAAAATTGGTGCACTTTGAAAAATTTAAATTTTTGAAAAAAACAACAACAAAATATCTCATCGGACGTCAAAATTTTAAGCGCCAGCGGGAAGCTATTTTTTTATTATTTATTTTTGATCAAATGAAAATGAATATCGACTGAGTCACCGTAAAACTGAAGTTGACGACTTTCTACTATACTTTTCACCAGAACTGAATATTTTAAATGAACAAAGTTTCGGATTAGGTATACAAATATATGTTTTTGAATGCAACGAATCAACCATGAATTAACAACCGAGAACCGAGTCAAATACGTTATGTTATTTGTGATTGATGAAATTCAAAGGAAATTCACAGTTCATAATTTTGGTAATAGTTTATCATGCAAGAATGACGGGCAGCTCCATGCACAGGGCGTTTAATAATTCATCCGAGAGGTAAAACAATTCAAAATAGAAATTAAATAGAACGTTAAAAAAAAATTCAAAAAAACTCTGAACATGTAAAGTAATTAGTCCGATCTTACTTTGGCATCAGTTTGATACTTTTGCGAAGAAAAATGTTAAAATTGAAATTCAAAGTTGAAAATATGCTTGAAAAATAAATATTTTTGAAAAACAAATATTTATATAAAATGTATCCATTTTTCTTTCTTTTTTGAATGTGTTGCGACACTCTTAATTATAAACTCAAAGCTTTAATTATAAATTAACTTTAATTATAAATAAATAAAAATTCCTCAAAAAAATCCCGCACAAAGAAGCAATTGAGTAATAATCATCAATTAACCGAATTTGCACGCACAGCATGTTCGTATACACCACACATCAATGACATTGCATTATTTGCATAGCTGCATTATTTTGTCATTAGCTGTCAAACTATTGCACTTTGATTATGATGCCTCAAACTCTCTTCTCGGGTTTCAAGTTTACGGAACTAGCAAAGTCTACGGTTCACAATTCAAGGTGGAAAAGAATATCATGACTTCTAGAAAAGAAAGAATCGAAATCCAGGAAAACCATGAAGAGCAAATCTAATTTTTAATAATTTTGTGAATCGTTGAAAGGAAGCACTGGGTAAATTCCTGGAACACATATATTGGGATTCGCGGGTTAGGGATCGCACTCAACATCAAAGAGACCTAAACTTTTTCGGGTAGGTACTAAGGCGTTACATACCTAGAAATTATTAGATCGTGAATAAGTGAAAAAATTTAAAAAAAGAAGAAGAAAAAAGAGATAATAGTCGTTGAACCGACACCTCGGACTAAAATGTGCGCACGTGCTGTTTTGGGTTCATTGAAATTGATATGCAAGTAGGTATCGCACATGTTTTAAGCATTCAATTAAATATGAATGGAGAGATTTGAGTAAATGTTACGTACTTAGATACATTTTCAATGGATGCACGATAAAAGTTTTGATCATTTAAACCACGAAAAACTGCGAGTGCGCGTGAAAAACGATTGCCACTGTTCTCAGGAACCCTCTTCTTTTCCTAATCCGCCCCATACTGTTCAGATTTGTTCCACCGCCTCATAATGCAGAAAAGTCTCATGACAACTGACAACATCTATCCGTCACGATGGGTTCAAGAGTAGTCGTTTCCTGAGCGGCCAAGGACCTTTATCAAAATATTGCAACTGACGAACAGAGAGATATTTCACCAAAGGGATAAAAGGGAAAATATAAAATAGAATAAAAATAAAAAGACATTTTTGATCATTAAATCACGGAAAAAGATTTTTGCGAAAAACAATGATAGCACTGCACTCGCGAACCCTTTTCTCTCCTAATCGGCCTCATTTGGTTCAATTTTGAATATCGTTCCGCACCCCCTCGGAGCGGAAAATGTCACATTGTCACATGCATGCATGACAGCATCCAGTCACAATAGGTTTGAAAGTATGTCGTTTCCTGGGCACTCAAATACTTGTATCAAAATGGTGCGACTGACGAACAGAGGGGTAAGATATCACTTTTACGCCAAAAAGGGAAAAGAAAAAAATTAATAAATAGAAAGTTTTGATCATTTAATCACGGAAAACTGCGAGTAGGTATGTATGCGTGAATAACGATGGTATCACTTTACTCATGAACCCTTTTTTCTCCTAGTCCGCCCCATTTAGCTCAATTTTGAATAATTTTTCGCACCCCTCCATGCGAAAAATGTCACCATGACAGCAACCAATGACAATTGGTTCAAAAGCATGTCGTTTCCTGAGCACTCAAATGCCTACACCAAAACGATGCGACTGACGAACAGAGGGGTAAGATGTCACTTTCACGCAAAAACGAAAGAGAAAACAGATTGGAAGGACACCCCCCAAGAAGGAGGAAACGATAAGACGTGCATGCGGAGGAGATAACACAAACATCGACCACCAACTAATGGGTTTAATTGAGTGGAAAGCATTGAAAGTCTGGGCGGTGTCTGGGGTCGAAAGCTCGTTTGAACTTGATTTGGCAAAGTTGTACAAGCCTCAAAAGGCGCTGCGAGCTCGAGCTGACACTGGTCGCGCGCTGCAAACGAGGCGTCAGCTCCGTCGCCCGAGCGTGTAACCGGCGGCGCGGCGTGTAATTCGCTAATTGATCGAATCGGGAGCGGAAGAAGGGATTAAGCAATTAAAATGATCGACTTACGAACGGCAGGAGCAGCGAGGCTCGTCCAAGAGAGCGGGAGAGAGAGAGAGAAAATCCGAATAATCGGCCGATCACTGGGTGGGAGAGAGAGGGGAGATCACTACTGAGGACGCGAGCGGCGGCGCTTGGCCGGAACCGTATGATGCGAGGCGAAGCGGGAAGGAATGCCGCTCGGACCGGCAAATACCGTGCGGGAATAATTCGGGGCCCTTGTCAACGGCTCCCGGTGACGGCTTCACGGTTGGCGCTTCGCGTTGGCAGCGAGTGGAACTAACCGGGGTCGGCGGGACCGGGCCCGGGGTCGAGCCAACCGCGCGGGAGGCTCCGCCCCCCGCGGCTCCAACATGGCGCGCGCGGACCAATCCCGGGCCGCGCCCGCCGGCGCCGTCGCCCCGCCTCCCGCGCTCCGATGTCGACCGCGGGTTCGAGACCGGGCCTCCTCCATCGCTGATTTGACCCCGGCTACGGTGTCGTATCCTTTGGTGGCAGGAGATAGGGAGGGTATGGGTAGATTTTCCGAATTCCCGATACGTAAATACGTAACGTACAGGACTGAATTAGCGACCCCTAGCTGACACCCCTGCTCACCTGATTTTTTTTTTTAAATAAAAAATTACATGCTGTAGAGGTCCTATACTGCCGTGCTAAGGAAGAACGCCGTATGAACATTCGAGAGTTGCCAAATTTCCTTCGATAAAACATGTATTTTTGACGAAATTTATGCACATTTTTCTCAGATATTTTAGAGTAATTTGCGTACAAAATTGTCTGGAAATGTTAGAAAAAAATATTCAAAATTTTCTCAGTAAATTCGGTTTTTTTCGAATAAAACTAGGCAACTTCTGAAGGCTCATATGGCGTTCTTCCTTAGCACTTAGCACGGCAGTATAGGAGTCTAAAAAACAGATTTAGGGAGGCCCTTATATTTTAGGACTTGGAGCCCCTCATAATCAGCACCGCGGACCCCTGAGCGCTAATCCAGCCCTGAACGCGGAACCGGTTCACAGAATACGTGACGCTGAATTTTGGATATTTTGACCCTCTCCTCATATAGTTAGTTACACTTTTTTGACGTAGAACTCTATCCTTCGATGCGTGTAAAAAAAAATGTCGTCATCGCCGCCAAAAACGATACCCCTGCTGGATCCGCCTACTGGCAGCGCCCGTAGAGTCGGTAGGATGCGAAAAAAGTATTTATACCATTTTAAAGGGGGAACGCGAAATATGATTCGAAATTTGAGGCGTCTTTACGAATAACTTGTTATTTTTTATACACCGCATGAAAGTAGGAGTTTCGAGAAAGAAGAAAAAGGAAAGCTGGCGCGGCGTCGGCAATTGTGAGAAATTGCATTCATCTCTAGTCTAGTCGATGTATGCTTTACTTTGATCAGAAATTGGCCATTTTTGCAGAGATATGAGTTTATACTGTTATAAGTGTTGCTTTTCTGCTGTGATAATCACATCATAAATTTGCAGGCCCTCGTTGACAGGTGCGTTGGAAGACAATCAATTTTATGACTCGTGACCAATCACTTTTGTGGGATTGCGAATACCTGCTAGTCGTCATCGATGTTGGTATACCTTACATGTATCCATAACAGGATGCGAAAGCAACCTATCTCGGCTTTCATACAACAATCACAAAGAGACCGTTTAATGAATACATATTTGGTTATAAAATGGTATATAAGTAATTTGTTTCGGGCCGAAATATCAGTACTCCAGGAAAAAACCAAGAAACATACGCAATCTTTAGTTTTAACCTATTTGTACATCGATCTTTTAGAGTCACATATGTCAAATTTTGAGCGTTTGGTTGCGCGTACACCTCGCTGCAGCACAATAAAAGCACAAAATGTAAAAGAAAAAATTAAAGTGCTTTGGAAATCATTAAATTTGACACGGAACCACCAACATTTAAAAAACACCCATTATATTATTATTCTCCTTTGATAAATTGATACATATTTTTTCCCATATTTGACACGGAACCACCAACATTTAAAAAACACCCATTATATTATTATTCTCCTTTGATAAATTGATACATATTTTTTCCCATCAATTTAAATGAGAATAATCAATGCAGAGTGTGCAAACATTTCAAAATCCTGAATTAAAAAACGCTGACTATGCGAGTATAAATATTAGAGTATAAATATTGAGAGCGGAGCGGCGTGCTGCCAGCGCGAGAGGCTCACTGGCGCCTACAGACTTAGGTGGATATATACTTCACGCATTGCACAACCGGAGGGGGGGGTGCATGAGATGCGTTTAATCGTGTTGGGCACATTTTGTGCGAAAGCCCTGTCAACACTACCAGCAAAAGTTCACGAAACTTTGCGCGAAAGTTAAGTTCCGTAAACCTACCTCTGTGTACAAGGCCTTCCATTTATAAGAAATGAACGAAACAATTATGAAAGAAAAAACATGAATGTGGTTTAATACTTTTAACTTCCGCCGCTGCACCGTGCTGACCGCACTGTGTTTTACGCAATGCATGAAGTATTCACGCAGTCTTGTAGGCGCTATGCGCTTCATGCCGACCGCTGCTGACTGCACTGTGTTTAACGCAATGCGTGAAGTATTCATGCAGTCTTGTAGGCGCTAATATGTGTTACATGCAAATTACCGACCGTCGCGCCGAGGGCTTCTCCTTTTCATCTCAAGTCCTCGTGCATCATTGTTCTTTGCGCCGCACCATTCCAGGCCAAATTGCGTGTTTAGTTTCTCTCTTAACTCGACTAATTAAAGGTACTGTCTCTTGTAGCACCGAAAGACGGCAAAATTAGAAATTACTATACTCCCAGGAAATGAGAGGTTTTGTTGCCTTTTATCGTTTGCAATTTTTTTCCTGAATCCGATTTTTTTTTTTATACTTAAATCTAAAAAAATTGCAAAATTTGCCGCCCCCTTTTGCAGCCATTGGCCGCGGCCCATATGGTCACCCCCTAAGTCCGGTGGAATAAAATTGTCTGAAAAATCGGCGGCAAAATGTTCATAGGTTTCCCGGGAGTTTCTTATTTTATTGAAGGAAATTTGGCAACGTCTGAAGGCTAATACGGCATCCTTCTTTAGCACGGCAGTACATCTAAAGTTTCTTTTCCCTGTCCCGATCACCATACATGATTGATATTGAGAAGAGGAAGGGGAAAAAATGAGTAATCATAAAATTTGCGCAGAACAGGATGATAGAGGGTAAGAGACGTACGAATGGACGGCAGACGCAAAATTTTCGTCTCCATTACGAAAAAGCGAAATCAAAATCAATGTTGCCAAATTTACCTTTGCAAATTTCATTTTTATCAGAAGAATCTTGGGCATTTCTCACGGATAATTTCACTGATTTTTCCTCTGATTCCATATAAAAATCAGAACAATTTTGGACAAAAATTGCACAGCTAATTCTTTTAAAAAATTGAATTGTTTGAGTGAATTTTGCAACCATGGAATGGAGTTATACGTTCCTTCGTCCGAGAAACGACGAAGGAAATTCGCCTCTGAGAAATATCTATTCGTCGCCCCCCGGACGAGGAAACCTAACTCTATTCCACGGTTGCCAAATTAACTCTAACAATTAATTTATTTTACCAAAGTATACCAGTTCAATTTTTATCAAAAACTTTTCTAATTTTTTGCATGAAATTTAAAGAAAAATCAGTGAAATTTCCAATTCGAATTGCCCAAGATTCTCCCGGTTAATATGCGATTTGCGAGGGGAAATTTGGCAGCAATAAAATAAAGTTACGTTCTTTCGAGAGTGAAACGATGTATTAAGGATGGAAAAGGGTCTGAGCACGGGTATATAAAAGAAAAAAGGAAGAGGGGAAGGGACGTAGAGAGGAAGAAAGGAAGAGCGGAAGAGAGAAAGAAAGAGGAGGGGGAGGGAGGGAGGTAGAGAGGAGGAGGACGCAGAGACGATGGAGTTTGAGGAGGAAGAGAGAGAGAGGAAACAAATAGTAGAGGGAGAAGTTCTGGACTGAGCAAGCGTTTTTTGCACGCTCAGTTAACTTCGGCACTAATAAACAAGTTACAGCTAAAAACAAACGCAACAAAGCAGAGCGGCGGCAAAGCACACTGGAGCGATGGCGGCGCGGGCCGCGGGCCCGGGCAAACAGCCGCTCAAAATTGAAATCAAGACGCGAAGCAGACCGTGAAATCAACTTATCACCTTGCCGAGAAAAAAAGGAAGAAGTAAAATAAGATCGACTGCGACTCCGGCTTCTTGGATTGCTTGGGCAGAGCCTGTGTAATTGGGCGCACGCTGCACCAAGGCATAGTGCAGTCCGGGCTAGAATGTTGCCAACCCAATTTCCACCTCGGAAATTGGGTCCGGATACATTTATTTCGTTCTTTATCAAACGCGTGCCTCGCTGGCAGTGGCGTGGCGTGCTATGCGGTATATAGATTGATCTGCCATTTAAACCTATGGAAAAGGATCGATAAATAGGGTGTTCGCAACGAACGCCTTAGTGATCGATTATTTTCCTAAGCTTCGAATAGGGGAATATCGATAATCGATCCTTCACGAATCACGCCTCGCCATTGGCATGCTGACCGCACCTGCACTGGAAAAAAACACATTGGATCTAGAGCTCAGACTCTTGAAAACATTGACAAGAAAAAATACTCTTGATTCAATCAGATTTAAGCTTAAATCAAGAACCAAGCCTCTTAATTTGAGCGGATTTCCTTTTGATTCAAGCTTAAATCTGATTGAATCAAGAGTCCTTTTTCTTGTCGATGTTTTCAAGAGTCTGGACTCTAGATCCAATATGTTTTTTTCCAGTGTGTGATTAATTTATAACCTCCGAGAGAAATTGCTTTACACTCAAATCGTCGTTTTCCTCATGAGAGGCCGTAACTACATTTGAGGGGCTTGGGGGATAAGGCGCGTAAGTGCAGTTTTTGAAAAATTAAGATATTAATGATTTCAAGTATAACTTGTCTGCACTGAGAAAAAACTATGGCTTATAAACCTATTAGAGGTAAATATGGAACACCACTAATAGTAGTACCTCTACATATAATAATAGCTCATATACCTTAGTTATGGTCTCTGTACCTTAATTAGGTACAGAGACCTTAGTATGGTTCACAGACCGAGAATCATTAGTTTATTTACGACTATTATAGGTGTTCCATATTTACCACTAATAGGTTTATAAACCATAGCTTTTTCTCAGTGTGAATGTATGCATATTCTGAGAAAAATTCGCTCCCGAATTCCAATTTTTAAGCATCAAAAAGT